TATTATTTTATATCATTTATATTATTTAATAGTATTTCTATTATTTTGTATTATTCCTATTATTTGATATTATTTATCTCATTTTTTATTATTTATCTAATTTTTTATTATTTTTATTATTTTATTATACTGTTCACCCAACCTGTGCCAGCGCCCAGAGCAGCTCAGGGTGGATGGGTCGTACCTGCCTTGGTGTTTAATAGTGTTTAATAGTTATTTATGGAATCATTAAGCTTGGAAAAGCCCTCTAAGGTCATCAACTCCAACCATTAACCCAGCACTGCCAAAACCATGTCCCCAAGTGCCACATCCACGGGTTGTTTAAACACTTCCAGGGGTGGGGACTCCACCTGTTCCAGTGCCTGACCACCCTTCCCAGGAGGGAATTTTCCCCAATATCATAGAATCATAGAATCATAGAATCATAGAATCATAGAATCATAGAATCGATTGGGTTGGAAAAGACCTCCGAGATCATCGAGTCCAACCCTTGGTCCAAATCCAGTCCATTTACTGGATCATGGCACTCAGTGCCACGTCCAATCTGCGTTTAAAAATCTCCAGGGATGGTGAATCCACCCCCTCTCTGGGCAGCCCATTCCAATGCCTGATCACTCTCTCTGTAAAGAATTTTCTCCCGATATCCAACTTAAATTTCCCCTGGCCTTGTTGCTCTTATCCAACCTGCCCCTCCCCTGGCACAGCCTGAGGCCGTTCCCTCTCATCCCATCCCTTGTTCCCTGGGAGCAGAGCCCGACTTCCCCCAGCTCCCCCCTCCTGTCCAGGGAATTCCAGAGCCAGAAGGTCCCCCCTGAGCCTCCTTTTCTCCAGGCTGAGCCCCCCCAGCTCCCTCAGCTGCTCCTGCTGCTCCAGCCCCTTCCCAGCTCCGTTCCCTTCCCTGCACACGCTTCAGCCCCTCCATGTCCTTCTCATCCTGAGATTTAAACTCATTCCTGTGCAGCTCCTGCCAGCCTGCACCCGTTTTTCCAGGCCTTCCCCATGACTGGAATTCCTTGACCTCTTCCTTGGCATCATTTCTTGCATCCCTTTCCCCCACCCTCCTCTGCCTGACTCCTCTTCCTCCTTAATTCCTCCTTCCATCCCAGCTCCTTCCTCACGTTTCTGTCCTGGAATTCCTCCTGGGAGTCCCATTTTTCCCTGAGCTGTGAGTCCAGCACAGGAAACGTCTCTTCCTCCAGGACACCCAGCAAAGTGCTGCCTGAATTTATGGGGCCCTGAGAGGTGATTTGTCTTTACCAGCCTTAACAACAATTCATATTTTTTTTCGTGCAACATGTTTTAAAATATTATCTGTGACTTCCTCCCTTCCCCTCTCCATAATTAGGCCGGGAATTTATTATCCTGGCAGTCGGGTTCTCTCAGAAAACCTCGACCTTCCCGGGGGTTTGGGGTGGTTGTGGCACTCACAGCCCTTCCCTGATTTCTCTGCTCTTCCCCCCCTGCAGATGAGGAGCTGGATCCGCCCTTCCCGGAGGACAACGAGGATGGTGGGAGTGGAGAGAGGAAGGGTAAGAACCCACCCTGCTCTGGGAAACCCAAAGGAACCCCCAGCTCAGGGCTGTGGGGGCTGATCCTGAGCATCCTGGGGTGTGGGTGGTGCTGGAGGGTGGGTGCAGAATCCCCAGGAATGGAGTGATGGAACCCTTCAGCTGGGGGAATTCAGGCTTGGGGAGCTCTTCCCACCTTCTCCATGCTCTGGATAAACACCCCATGAGGTTTCCTGTGCTTCTTCCTGGATAAACACCCCGTGGGGTGTCCTGTGCTTCTTTTGGGATGAACACCCCGTGGGGTGTGGCCTTGGGGAGCTCTGGGTGGAGGAGCCCCAACACTCACCCCCGCTCCTTCCCGGTGCCACGGGTGTGCTGGAGCATCCCCATGGAGTCACTCCCATCCCTCTCCCTCATCCCATCCTGGATGTGGAGCAGGAGCATCCCAAGGGGCCGGGGAGAGGCGCTGGAAGCAAAAAGAACCCGGAGCAGGAGCAGGAAGCGAGTCCTGCCCAGAGGAAGCTGCCGCAGGGAGGGATCCCGGCGCGGGAAGCCGGAAGGAACCGCGATCCTGCTGAGGTGGCCAGAACCCCACCCCTGCCTTTTCCTTGAGGACCTGCTCCGTGGGATGGGAGCTGAAGGGCTGTTTCCTCCCCACTCCCACCTGCCTGCTTTTCCTGGATTTTCCATGGACTTCCCGCCCCGGCACAGGAAAGCGGCTCTTGTGTCCGAGCAGCCGGGGCTGGGCTGGCCGGGGGCTTCCTGCTGCCTGGAAAACACATCCTCCCCTCACAGCCTGCCCTGGGAGAGCTTCCCACACTGTCTGCACCTCGGTCTCACCCTGGTGACGCTCTGCATCCCGCTGTGGGATGACAGGGATCGGAGGGATTCGCCGTTGGATGGTGGGTGGATGAAGCAGCTCCACTCCTGTGCTCTCTGGGATTCACCAGCACCCCAAGAATTGCTTGGCTGATTTTCCCCTCCCAGCCATCCAAGAGCCCTCATTCCTGATTTCCTGGTGTTTCTGGAAAGCCTCATCCCATAATTCCCTTTAGCTGACATCAGCCCCCCCTTGGATGATCCTTGGGCAGTTGTCCCCAGCCCGGGAGACTGCTCAGGCCTGTTCCTGTGGAAATCTTGGAAGCACAGACAGGGTTGAGCCCCAGCTGCTTTCAGAGACTGGAGCAACTCAGTGTTTCCCCTCTCCTAGGGATTTTGGGAAGCTTTTCCCCACCCTCTGGCACGATGAATTATTTGACCACTGGAGAATTTGGTACCAGCACCCAGAGCTTGGGAAAACTTCTCATTCCAAACTTTCTAAACTCTGTGGTGCTCCTAAAGTGAGGCTGAACATTTATCCATGGAACTGCCCCGTGTCCTTACCCCGTGGAGTGGGATAAGGGCGGCAGCAGGGATGGGAATGGACGTGTGAGGAAAGCAGAGGGGGTGGGAAATCTGCACAAACAAGTTTTCCTTTCCCTCTCTCACCCTCCTCCCTGTTATTTAAACCCCCGAAGGACCCGGCGGCGGGAGAGCAGCTCCCGGGGCTTTCCCAGCTGGATGTGGGATCAGAGCTCGGCTCTGTGACAGCCCCGCACCTCCGGAGCCGCTGATCCCGCACCCCGGGGGTTCCCGAGGATTTTGCCTCTCGCCTGTCACGGCCCTTTAACACCCTGCTCGGCCTCATTAGCGTCTGCCGCCGGCTCTAATTGCTGTTAATGGTTCGAACTGGTTTGTTACTGGCGGTGTCAGGATCGCTCCGAGCCCTGGCGCTGTTTTCACACCCCACGACACATTAGACTCCCGCCTCTGGAAAACCGGGCTGCCTTTCAAGAAGAGGGAAAGGTTTCAAGAGGGAAAGGTTATGGCAGCCCCGGGAGCCCCAACCCCTCGTGCCTTTTGCCTCGGAAATCCAGCTGTGCTCCCGTCCAACTGGACCAGGAGCCGCCGGATCCTGGAGCAGAGGGATGTGCTCGGGGAGGGAGGGAGGGAGGGAAGCGGCGAGTTCCTGATTCAATCACGCGGCGCTTGGCTCGTGGAGAACCATTGTTTCTCGTTTCTAAAGAACCACAAGGATGCCACGGATCCGGAGCAGCACCACAGTCCAGCTGAGAGCCGGGGGCTGCTCCTGCCACGAGTCCCATTTGCTCCGCTCGGGGCTGTGGCACAAACAGAGCAAAAATCCCTTCCTCTGGAAAACAAAACCGCCTGCCAGGCTGTTCCCTGTCACAACCCCATCCCCTGTCACAGCCTCTGTTCCCTGTCACAGCCTCTATCCCCTGTCACAGCC